GGGGGGAGGAAGCACAGTGACACAGATATTAATTATTTATGGGACCCAACTGGGTGATCGCTGGTTCACGCGTGCTGGAGCAGGAGGTAGGAGTGCGCTGCCAGCCCTGCGCGGTGGGAAAACGCTGCTCTGATCAACACAAAGGCACGTGGCTGCACGCCGGGATGTGCTGGAGCAGCTGGGTGGGCCAGCAGGAGCAGGATGGGCAGCAGCGTCCCTGCACATCCCGCCGTGGGAAGGTTCAGAGCACTGGGGGCTTGGTGGCTTTTGGCTGCCCAGCCCTGCCCTGCAGGTGTGTGGCACTGCCAGGGGAGTGTTTGCATCATCTCTCGTTCCTGCGGGAACCGGTGGATGCTGACAAGTGTCTCTTTGGAATTAGACAGCCCCACCTTCACCCACCACATGATCTAGGCTGCCAGTCCTTCTCCAGCACAATATTTAGGGGTTGTCTACAAGGGAAACGCTGCCCGGCATAGCTGCTGTGGGATAATTATTCTGCAATCACTCACTGCTCTTCCCCCGTACTCATCCCCTTCTCAGAAATAAATGGGACTTTATTCCTGCATAATAATATAATTATTATTCCCCAGCAGCTCTGCTGTGCCATTTCCCCCACGGAGACAAACCCTTCTGAGATCTGCTTTTCATAATCGCCGTCAGCCTGTCGCTCCCCACGGGACCAGAGGGTCCCTCTGATCAGTGGGAATACAGCTGGCAGGGAGGCAGGAGGGTTTGCTGATCAAGTGCATCCTCCAGCACTTCACACAAGGTTATTGTCTGTGGGAATGGGAAGAAGGAGCCAAGCAGAGGAACGATTAAGGAAAGAGTTGTCTGGAACAAAGAAATTCCTTAGTTTTAAGTTAAAGCTGTGCAGCCTCAGCAGCCAAAGGATGGACCCTGAGCCCAACTCCTGGCTCAGGGCTGTTCCCCGCAAGGGCCTGCACAGCACAGGCTGCCAGATCTGCTCATCTGGTTCCCAAAATATTACATTCTCCCTTTCTGCTTGGGAGGAGCAGTTAAGCATGTCACAGCCTTTCATCTCTTTATCCTCAGGTGGGCCTGTGCTGCCACCCTGACACAGGAGGGAGACAGGACACTGCTGGAGTCAGATGTCCTTGGCCATCCTAATCCCAGCAGGACCCAGGAAAGAGGACTGGACACCACTTGGACGTGGGATTACAAACAAACCCAGAGGCTCCTTCTGCCCAGATGTATGATTTCAGTGCTGGCTTATCATTACAAAGAGAATCATTACAAAGAGCCACAACAATAAAATTTGCTGTCTTTACCACAATGTGGGTACACACAACCCAGAGCCTTCACGGTGATGCCACATCCTGGTGGCAGCAGGGGTGGAAAACACAAGGGCTGAATTCCCACCTTCGTGGGAAACACTGCCAGCCCCTCAAGCTGCCAGTGTGCCCAGCAAGGGCTGGGTGGAAGGCTGGAGAAAGGCTACGGGAGATGCTGGGCAAAGGGGATGGAGGATGCTGGGTGAAGAGGGTGAAGGATGCTGAGTTAAGGGGATGGAGGATGCTGGGCAAAGGGGTTGGGGGATCCTGGGCAAAGGGGTTGGAGGATGGCGTGTCCCAGGCCCCGCGCAGGGACAGTTCCGCAGGACCTGCCGCTCCCCCTGTTGATGTCAGATAGAGTTGCAAGTGCTCCACAGCCCTGACACCAACCATTCCTGGCTGAACCCAAAAATTCAAGCACCTGGAAAACTGCTGGCTCCTTTTAAGGACGTTCACCCAGGGATACCAAGGGTACAGAGCAGACCTGTGCTGGCACCACGCCACCAAAATGTTCACACTTCCCTTCTTTTCGTGTTTTTATTTTGCAATAAAAAGGTGAGAAATGCACGTCTGAGCAGGATGGATCCCCGAGGAACATGGAAGGCTGACACAGATCCCAGGTCGCACTCAGGCAGCCCAGCCTCCACGCCTGCTTCTTTCATAAGGTTTAGAGGAATCGACGTCCTCCCCAGAATTGTTCCTATTCCATCAAATCAGCAAGATTTTCCTCCCCAGTGGAAAGTTTCCATCAGATATGTAGCAACTAGCTCTTTCTCTGACCTATTTGCAAGCCCCAAGCCACTCTCCACCACCCACTGCTTGAAAGCTTTGATAATTCAATGAGATGTTAATTCTGACATCCAGCATAACTCTCGATACAAAAACTTCTTCTTCTTTTTTTTAATTATCATTAATTGCAATGCAGGAGTAATGAAACCTCTCCACAGATTTGGCATTCAAAGCACCCAGCAGCATTTTGCTGCACAACTCCCATTAAGTCAACGTGTATTAAGTGGTTTTTGACAGTCCCATGTGCTCTGGGGTTGGCAGAGCCCAGAAACAACGAGGCAGCACAGTTCTGCCTCAGGGACTGAGGCACAAGGCAAAGTCCAGCCTGGTCAACACATGTAGGTGTCAGCACACGGCTGCTTAAAAATCACACTGCAAAAGGGCACTGTCACTTTTAAGCACGTCAGGATCGTCTTTTAGGGCAAAATTCTGCTCTAAATGCGAAGGGTTGTTAGTGAGATCCCATGTGCTTTCTCAGGACACACAGCCTGTGAATCTGAGCTGCACACAATGCTGGAAACTTTTTCACCTGCGTTTAAGAGCCTGACTCAGTGGGTCTTTATAGGACTGGCCCCTGAGCAAGGTGCCCTCCACTCCCTTTGCAGAGCCCTGTCAGGCTCTCCCTGACGCGAGGGATATCAAATATTCTTTAGCCTGCACTTCCTCGGTGAATATTTTCTTTATTCCATATATACATTTAAAATTTGTTTTAGTCATCAAACAAAGAGTGGTTGAGAGTAAAAAACCTCGGGAGCATCTGCAGAAAAAACCTCAGCATAATCAGGCACAAGACACAGGAACTGACTTAAAGCACAAGCAGAAGCCATGGCTTTATTTTCACTGCTGGAGCAGAGTAAATGGCATGTGTGTTGGGAAACAAATAATTTTTATAAATCTTTCTGTTTCCGTGACCAGGCCAACATTACCAACAAGAAGATGACAATTTGAGTGCAGAACTCTGTGTCTCCATCTCTTTCTTCATCTGTTTTAAAAATAAAGCACCTTCTACGTGGTTGCTCTGGAACAGCAGCCCTGCCTGAGCCGAAGCACACGCGTTGCCTACATTTATCTGCTGATTTGAATATAAATGAAAGAGAGTGAATTATAAACGGAGCCTGGGGAGTTGTCTCTGCAGGCCTATGGCTGCTGGTGGCAGGGCTTGGTGGGCAGAGACCTGGAGCCTCACCTCTGTGTGTGGGAAGAGCATCCACAGCACCACTGTGACAAATCCCTCCTTTGCTGGGTCCAGTTTCCTCACACACTGCGCTCAGGGGGAATTTACCCTTGTACGTGTCTCTGAAATAATAATGTTGCTTTAAAGGGGAGCCCTGGAGAGCCCTGTCACCACAGTGATGAACACTGAGCATCCATCCCTCCAGCTGCCTGCAAATCCACCCAGGAGAAGCCTTGGATCCTGGGGCATCCCTTTGCCCTGGCCACAAGCATCCCCAGTCCCTCCACACACCTTTATATCTGCATAAAACCACTGCAGAGATGAAACAGCAAACGTTTGTTGTCCTTCTTGCAACTTCCCAGCCTCGGACAAGGGGGCTGCAAAACACCACGTGCTGCATCTGCTGCCACTTCTACCGTGAGCATAAGCAAACCTGGTGTTGGCAAAGGTCTGCTGTCATCTCAAATAAATGCAATTACCAGCCAGACCTCCTTCTCTTACTGGGGGGATACTGGCAGCAGGGGCAGGATATGGTGGGGGTCCCAATTCTGTACCCACTTTAAGAGCAGCTTAACTTTAAGCACGTCAAGGTCATACCAGTGTAAAGCTAAGCTCCTTTTCACATCAAAAATGTCCTACAAATGCAAAAGACTGAACAAATTGGCCAGTGCATATATTTATCACTGCTCTCCGAGAGCTTGGATCAGAAGGTCTGAGCAGGGAAGGTCAGGCTGCTGACTCAGATTGCTCAGAAAGTGCAATTTCTTTTCCATGGGAAATTGTGGCACTTTCAGATGTGTTTTCCTCTCCAGATCCTGTTGTCCATCCCAAATTTGCTGGAGAAGGTTTTCAGACGTGTCGTTGGGCAAGGATTGCCTGTGCTGTGTGACTGGGAGGGGAGCAGCAGAGGATCCAGCTGTGGGTGCTGCTGGATCCCAGCACTGCCAGTGCCAGCCAGGGCACAGCCCAGGAACCAGCAGCTCACACACGTGGAAGATTAAAATGAAATCAATTTGAGTAGTGATGTCAAAACTAAACCAAGCAATTTGCTGAAATGAAATGCTTTTGAAAAAAATTATCCTCTGAAGGTCGAAATGAATGGTTCAGATTTTTTTTCCCATCAGTAGTTTCCTACACGCTCCCACAAAATGGTTTGATTTCAGGAAAAGTGCACTCGTCAATAAAGATCACTTCCACTGAAACCCTTTCTAGCCTTCCTGCTGCCAAAAGAGCTCTGCCTGAAGCCAAGCACCCCAGAGATCTGCAAGTCAGGCAGGACCCCCAGGGTTGGTCCATGCCTG